AGAGATTCGATGGCTGAGCCAAGAGGGAAAGCCAAGAGTCTGTGCCCCATGTCTGAATCCTCAGCCTGCACTTGTTCGGAGGAGCGGGTGGATCCAGAGAGGGCCGTGGTTTCCAAAAGCTGTCCTCTGAGGGACTAACAGGTTGGCCAGATCCAGCTGAAGAGAACAAGCGGCATTTGACGCCGGGCCTAGCCTACCAAGGACAGTCGAGTCTGATCTTGGACAGAGAAAAGTAGCTCAAGGGAGGTTATTTTCCAGGGGGAGGAGTAAGGGAGAACTCTCTTGAGACTGTTATAAACAAGTAGGAAAGCAGGCCAACTTCAGGTTGGCAAAAGGATGCTCCTTAAATCCGGCTTCCTCAATTAAAATGCATGTCTGAGGGTTCGGGGAAGGGTAGCAACCGATGAAAAGTTACGGGTGCATCTTGGCTTTACTGTGGCATTCTGGTCTGGTAAAAGTAAACATGGGTGATATGGATCAGCAAGGCCACCAAACATCTCTGGCGCCCAGTGAGCACAGACTCTGGTTCTAGTAAAAGACTCCCTTCATCCTGTTGTTCGAGAGGGTATACAGAACTCCCTGAGGGATTCTGTACAATTCCTTTGAGTTGCCTACAACATCCCTATATTCAAGCATTTTGCATTTTCTAGGTTATGTAACAACAACAACAGCAACAACAGAATGCGCCCAACTACCGTAACATTTGCTCATTCGCTGTGACGTGATGGTCATTGTATATCATTTGCAGTGATACGGAGGAGAAAACACTCCTTTCTCACAGAAACGCTGCATAAACAGAGCTGTAAATCTTCCAAACGAACATATCGTTCTTTCTATTGTATGTCTCTGGAAAATGTTCAACCCAGTTGGGGTCATGTGGGCTCTGTAAAAGTTACAAACGGGTTAGACCTTGTCCTTCCAGAGGCCACGCAGAAGTTAGAGACGGAGGAGACCAGATGGGCTCTTCCAGACTTTTCCTGTTGTATAGTCCCTATGCACGCAAAACAACAGGAGAATGTGTTTTAAGTGATTGATTTTGATAAGGGTGTTGGGGCCACGTGAGTCTCTTTCTGGTCCATAAATCCCCCCATAAAAGAGAGACTCCAGTGGGAGAGCTTTCCATCTTTTAAGAGATTTTCGGAAACGTTTCTCTCCCCACAAGAGAAGCCGGCACAGAGCCGGTCCCCGGGGGGCAATGGAGACAGTGGGCTGAGGGCCCCTCATGCTGGAAAGACTCGGGGGGGGGCACGAGAGGGCGGCAGGCGATGTCTCTACCAGCAGGCACTAAAAATAGTTGGAGACATGGGCAACTGTGTGCTTGCTCTCATTTTCAAGGCCAGGTGGGTGGTGCTGCACCTTCTCCTCCCGCACATCCCTTCAAGCTACAGGCCTTTTTGTGGTTTTAATCTCCCTCAAGGCTGTCTGAGGGTTGTTTTAACCTCTTTTTAAGTTAATAAAAATGCTGTGTTTGGAAGATAAGGAAAGAAGGGAGGGAAGGGAGTGTTTGTTTGGTCCTAGGGTTTAAGCGCCTTGCCCCTGAGCCCCCTTGATTTTTTTTTAAGGTCATATTCAAGCCTGTGTTGCAAATCCCCTCCAAGAAGACTATCCAATGGGCTTCGCAACGGGCTGTCTGTGAACATTTTGTACTGGCAGTTACCTGATTGACCACGGAGTGGCAAATCTCGAGCAGGAAATCGGTTACATGCGAGTGCCTCCCTTCCCAAAAGCCTTCAGCAGAATGTAGAGCCAGATGAATGATGGTAGCCTTGTCACGAGGCCCAAACTGGTCACAATGCCGCCATGCATCATGAATGGCTTCCCAGCTTGGCGTAAACCCGGCTTTCCATGTTTATTACTTATTTGTTATGGGAGCCGAAGGAACAAAGCAAAATGCATCCTGCGCAACATCCAGGATGGGGCATGCAGGATCACGAAAGCCTGAGAAAAGGCTGCTATGTCTCTCCCTGTCCTGAAGCCTTTTCCTTTTCCTTCTTGTTTGAGAGAAGTTCCCCAACTTTGTGGCAACTGCCTTTGATTTATGCTCCCCAAGCTCAAAAAGAAAAACATCCGTTTTCTCCAAATTATTTTGATGCTCTTTCCCCTCCCGAAGAAAGCCTTTTACATGGCTCTGGCTTCACGAAGCCCTTGGAACTCTAAGTAGGACAAGAATTAGTATTGACTCAGCTTGGCAGGTAGGCTGGGGGGGCGGGGGGAGGTGGGGGGGCTCTCCCAGGTGCTCCCTACGGCAGGAATTGGACTCTCCCTGGAGTAACAAGACGCAGACTAACCCGCGGGATCTCCACACCAGCGCTTTTCAGCTTGGGCTTCAACGTCATTTCTCTTCTCAGCAACTCTGGCCCCCTTATGGGCCTGGGACGTCCAAGGAGAGCCAGGCTAACTTTTCGGGAGCTGGCCCAAACTACTTTCCAAGAAGAAAATCACATGAAAGATAGTTCCAACGACCAGGGTGCCTTCTCCCTCCCTCCATTTCATTGGGACGCTGAGAAGCTATTAGTGACCTGAGCTGTCCCCAAATGGGAATCCAAATAACTAACTTGTCAGGGAAGCGAGCCTGACTGAGGTCAACGGGCTCCTTATATTTTCGTTCCTAAGTGCTCTGCGAGTCTTTGTTTTCTGTGCCAATTAGTCCATCGTGGTATGTATCTCATGTACAGAACACACTCATAAATCTAACTGGAAGCCAGAATGTGGCACAACCATTTGATTATGGGAAAAATCTATTTGATTTATGAGGTCTTACGACCCAACGAACCGTATTGTGCTTTCTTCTCCACTGCCTGGCTTAACTGTGTTGGCAATGCGGTCCCTCCCTCGGCCTGACAATCATAGGACTTGGGGCCTGCCTCGAGCAGCAACACGGGTCAGGGAGACAAGGGTGGAGAGCAGGAGGAAGAATTGCTCTTTAATTACTGCTAATTTGAATATTAAATTATTTCCCCATGAAAACAGCTAGATTCAGCAGTCTGTGGCTCGGGCCACATTTTTCCGTTAATGTGACCGGGAGTTCTGCTGGGTAAGAACTCTGAGAAAGCCCATGCTCGAGTAAATGTCCTGGGAAGTCTTGTGACTCAGAGGCAGGGTGCCATTTCCAAAAGGGACATCATTACAGAGGTCTCACAATTCAGCTACTTGAAGGGGGCATTCGGTCTAGCGAGCACATCAAATAAATTATGATTCCTCTGAGAATCTGTGCTTCCCTGTCTATATTTCTGGCCTCTTGAGTGGCGTTTTAGGGGAGGCTAGTGATTTCTTTTGCTGGGGTTTCGGGAGCAGAAAGGGACTTTGCTTCGATCCGGATGACTCATGTGGGTTAACCCAAAGTGGGGGAAACTTCTCCTCCTCCCACTCAGGTGCAAAGTGGCCCACCCACGAACGCTGCTTTCAAAGGAAGTTTGACAAAGTGATCTGTGCTCCTGTCATCTGCACAGAGGGCCCAGCCCCAGGGCATGCTGGGAACTTCTGGTCCAAGAAAGGCACCAGCCAACAAGGGCTAGGGTGGAAAACAAGGAGGAAACCTTCTGGGGCCAGCAAGTGTGTCTCTCTCTGCAAGGGGTATATGTCAGAGCAAATCTCTAAATCTAAATGGGCAGAGCAAACTCAGGTCTGGCCAAACGTGGGGCAGGGATTCGACGAGGCTCCCAAGCAGCAGTATTTTTGGTGTTTATCAAAGCGGACGCAAATGAGCCTGAAAGATGGGACCAGGTTTGGGGAAAGGAGCTGGCAGAAACTCTGCTACACTGGAAGCTCCGTGAGAGCAGAGGTCCCATCTGGTTTTGTTTACACGTTCCCCTGTGCCCAGCAGGGCCGGGCACACATGAGGGGCTCAATAATAATGGGTGGAATGAATAAGATGATTGGGGCTGCCCAACTGGTCAAGCTAGAGCGCTAATGGGTATAATAATAGTCATAACCATTTCAAAGGGTACTTGTTAACAGGTAGGGTGACAGTAGTTTAGTTAATGCAGTGGTGGGGCGCCTGGGTGGCTCAGTTGTCAAGCGTCGGCCTTCGGCTCAGGTCATGATCCCAGGGTCCTGGGATCGAGCTCCGCATCGGGCTCCCTGCTCTGCAGGAAGCCTGCTTCTCCCTCGCCCTCTCCCCCTGCTTGTGTTCCCTCTCTCGCTGTGTCTCTCTCTGTCAAATAAATAAATAAAATCTTAAAAAAAAAAACAAATGCATGTCAGTGGCACATGATGACTCCCCTTGGTATGTCTACTAATAGAAAAAGAGGCTGTATCCAGTCCTTCCAACGATTGGTGAGGCAGCTCCCCTGTCAAGCCAAGCCTCCATTGATTCCAGGGTGTAGCGGGGCCCAGCCCACAGACGGGTGGGCGTCAGACTGGCAGGGACCAGCGTCAGACTGGCAGGGACCAACAGACACAAACGTTCAGGCCTGAGCCAAGTCCCAACATGGCCACTGTTCCTCACTTCTGTGCGGCCGTGTAGTTAAGAGTTGAGGCTTTTGAGTCAGAGAGTCAGGTTCAAATCCCTGCTCTGCTGCTTATGTTCTTTGTGACCCCAGGCAAGTTCCAAAATTCTCTGACCTTCAGATCCCTTGTCTGTAAAATGATGATGATAATAACACTTACTGAAGGGTTGTTGTGAGGACTAGATGAGAAAATGTTAACTTTCCAGCACTGGAGCTGGCCCATGGGAAGCACTCAACAATGGTAGCCATGGCGAGTACTGTTATCACCTAGACGTGCTGTGAGCTCTGTCTTATTCTTCTCATAATTCGCATGCTTAGATCCCTGAGACAATGCCTTATATAGAGTGTTTAATAACTGCACATGCTTGGGCGCCTGGTTAAGCTTCCGACTCTTGGTTTCGGCTCCTGTCATGATCTCAGGGTCGTAGGATCGAGCCCCAGGTTGGGCCCCATGCCGAGAGCAGAGTCTATGTAAGACTCTCTCTCCCTCTCCCACTGCCCCTCCCCCCCTAAAGTAAGTAAATAAATCTTTAAATAATTGCACACGCTTACCTGTTCCTCCTTTCTTTACCTCTTCTGCTGGGCTGGCAGTCAGCTGCAGAGTTAAGCTCCACTTTCAGCTTCAGGTCCAGCTGGCTCAAGGGAGCTCCAAGTATGTCTCATTTTCTTTCTGGGATCAGTGGCTAGTGAGGGCATGTCTTTCTCATGGTGTCTGAAGCACAAGCATGTAAGCCAAATCATACAGGCCCATTTCAAGCCCCTGCACAAGTCACATTTGCCAATGTCCCATCAGTGAAGCATGTCACACGGCCAAATCTAAACTCAAAGTGTGAGGAAATACACTCTGTGGGAAGGACCACAAAGCCATACAGCAAAAGTCATAGTTAGAGGGAGGGGTGAAGAATCAGGACCAATAATCAGAAAGCCTCCCCTGATGATATCCCAAGATATTAAATCCCACTTCTAGATATTAAATCTCAATCCATAATCATAACTTTTAGCCAGCCTGGGTCATTTCACCACAACTCTTTTTAGAGCTTCAGAAGTCACCCTTATCTCTCCACCATCAAGAAGTGTGAAGCAAGTTTTTGGAGGACAGGTCCAGAGAGTATTTGAGTGATGACCAAAACATATCTAAAATCTGGGGCCCCTGAGTGGCTCAGTCGGTTAGGCGTCTGACTCTTGGTTTTGGCTCAGGTCATGATCTCATGGATCGTGAGATTGGCGGCATGGCTCCGGGTTCAGCAGGGAGTCTGCTTGAGAGTCTCTCCCTCTGCCCCTCTCCCCTTTCTCTCTCTCTCAAATAAATAAATCTTTAAAAAAAAATATATCTGAGGGGCACCTGGGTGGCTCAGATTGTTAAGCGTCTGCCTTCAGCTCAGGTCATGATCCCAAGGTCCTGGGATCGAGCCCCACATCGGGCTCCCGGCTCAGTGGGGAGTCTGCTTCTCCCTCTCTCTCTGTCTGCTGCTCTCCTGCTTATGCTTTCTCTGTCCCTCAAAATAAAATCTTTAAAATATGTGTGTGTGTGTGTGTGTGTGTGTGTGTGTGTGTGTGTGTATATCTGAAAGTCACATAACTTTTAGCCCTGTATCTCTCCAGAATGGGTTCGCAGTAACAATTTCTAACTCCCTACACACAATCAAAAGAAATTTATACAGATTTCTTCCCTTTCTGTGTTAACGCTTAATCCCCCAAAACCCAGATATCTGAAGGTAGATAGCACATCAGGCCCCTTGCATGACTGCATTTGATAGGTGTGGCAAACAGATCCACCAAGGAAGTCAAGAGTGGGTGACTCTATTATAAACAACATTTGGAGGGCTCAGTTTACTTTTTATTCTTTATTGGATTTCATAAGAGTGGACAGTTCTATGCTCTGTCATAGATTATTTGCTTTTCTAAACACACTTTTTACAGTAAATTAAGAAGCATTTTACTCAATAGGACACTTTCTGAATCTCCAGTGGGAGTATTCTTGCCCAAAGGGGAGCTAGTATTGTTAAAGTTGTCTTCATGAATTGCACTTGAGGTCAAATTAAAAACAGCCTTTGGAGCTCAAGTACAGAATCATAGAAATCATAGGCTTTGAAGGAAAAATAGCTCTTTTACTTCCTAGAAAAACAGTCAAACTTGAACTTCTAAAGGCTGAGCTAGAGTAAGAACGATGAAAAGACTATTTCCTCTTATTCCAGGGCTGGATTCAACGAAAGCATGGACCAATCTTGTAACAGAAGTGCCTCCTAAGAGGGGCAGTTAAGAGCTGTGGGGGAAAGAAAAGAAAAAACATGGCAACTGCTCTTCGGAATCCATAATTATGTACCGGAAGCTAAGAGAAAAAACACCAGACTGTACAGTGAGTCCAGAGCTTCTTAAACTTGAATGTGCATACAAATCACCTCTCATTCAAAATTTCTGGGGTGGGGCCCGAGATTCTGCATTTCTGGCAAGCTCCTAGGTAATGCTAGTGTTCCTAGTCTGTGACCCGCACTTTGAGTAGCAAAGTTTTAGTTGTGGGAACATACTGGAATCTTGTGTAGGAACATGAAGGTGAGAGAGATAATGAAGGTAAAAGTGGTGAGTTCTTCACAGAGGAGGTATGCACAAAGGAATATTCTGGAACAATGTACATGTAGCAGAGCCCAAATCTCACAAAAGATTCTCACTTACAAAGACCCCATGAGGAGTCTAAAAGAATCCTAGAGTGAATTGTAAACATGGTGCCCCTTAACTCAGGTTTGTTCAGGCGAATTCTCGCTAAATTGGTGAAATATAAAATTGATTCTGTTCTCACCCAAGAAGATAGGGTCCTAATAAGAGATATATATATATATATATATATATATATAGCATATTAAGTGTCTATCTATATATGATATATATAAATATATGATGTGCATATGATATGTATAATTGATATACAGTATATAGAGAGCTATATATATCTATATTATACATAGATATCACATATATATTTATTATACATGACACATATATAATATAGATATATTATCTCTATTCCTTGCTGATCTATTTACGTGGACTGTTGTAAAAGCTGCCACCACCACAGGCCAGTTACCATCAAATAAACTTCTGAATTTGAATGATGTTTGGTGGGGACTGTCTACTAAGAAAGAGTGATAGATTTCATAAGCTGTGTTTTAAACCTCATAATATGCATCCCCAAAAGTTATGTGACTTGGGAAATTACAAAAGAAGACTGGAGAGAACAGAAACGATTTAAAAAGACAGAAGGTTTTTGTTGCTTTTTTTTTTTTTTCTAGAACATTGACTCTGTTTAGCCCTTGGAAGGGAATTAGAAAGTGAATCTGTTTCTTTATATTATTTGTATTAGTAAAAGCACCAGCTTTTCCCTCCATCACACACACTAAAAACGTTGAGTAAATATTTAAAGAATATCAGTGTGAAGAAGCACTAATTTATTACCTCGTTGTCTTTCTCTGAAGGAAGAGGATTTAGATCAGATGAAGGGAAGAGCATTTTAGGCAGGAGGAGAGTTCAGGCAGCAGTGCTTAGAGCTGGAAAGGGGTTGTGGAAAGTAAGATTGCCAAAGCAGGTTGGGGCCAGATGGTAGGGAACCAGCTGAATGCCTCGCTAAGGAGTCTCGACGCTCTTCTTTAGGTAAGCACATTTTTGATCCAGGGATGAAATAAAATATGAAAAGGGCCATATTGAAGTACTTGGTAGTTGGCACTTGGCGATGCTTGCTCTGGGCCATTCACCCACTTGACAGTTCCTCAGGGAGTTCTAAGGAACCTTCTATAGGGAGGGATGTCCAAGTTCAAGGTAAATGCAATCACAGACCGCTGAGAGAGACAGACTAATCCCCAGGACCTTGGGACGAGACTCAAACCAGAGACTTCTCAGGGAGCCCCAGAGACTTAGAGAGTAACTGGTCCTCAGAGGGGCAAAATGCCCAGCAGGTCCCCGAGAGACTGGGGGAGGGCATCCATATTTTTCTCATTAACTTATTCATGACATGAAGTATTATGTCTTGCTGAGGATGGTGGAAAATATTTCACTGAAGTCTTAAGTTGGAAAAAAAAAAAGTTAAGAGGGTTTTTTTTCCTCTTTATGACCCTAGGCCAAAGAAAAAGTTTGTCACTGAATGTTTATGAGAGGAGTAAGCCAGAAGAACAGACACAGCCAAATCCCTCTGACTCATTACGGCGCGGTAGGAGCAGCGTGCTCAATTAGTAGGCAATATAATTTACCTAGGCCCGAGGGTCAGAGGGGGCGGGCTGTGGCCGGCAGTGGGGGGGATCTGGGAGCAGGGTGGAAATTAGAATTGTCAAAAGTTATAAATTTACCCAAAAGAGTGAGATAGTAAGGTGACCCCTCTGAGTGAAGCCGGGTCTCCATGGCCACCCGTCACTTCTGAGCTCCAATGAGCCACTTGTCAGACCCTGCTGTCTACATAGCTAACATGAATAAGGTAGGAGCAATGTGAGACTCCTGGGGTCATAAAAAAAAAGGGGGGGGGGAATAAATCAGCTAAGAGTGTCAGGACACGGAAGAAGTAGAGACTAACTGCTGGGACTCCACCAGGCAGGGTAAGGCTCTTCCCACTCTGAAGGCACTGGCTTCTTCCTCCCGTGGGCAGGGGGCTGCCCAATAAGAACACCAGCCCTGGACTGAAAGTGCTCCTGATCCTGCTGAGGGAGGGCTGTCGGTGATGAACAGCATTCTTATGGAGATGGTCTTGATTGTTGTGGTTTTTCGTGTGCTTTTGCTATTTCACTCTGACATGCCTATTCATTATTTTCTTCACGTTTTCCCTCGTTTGGCTAAGACTGTGTACACACCTGCTGTGCGCCAAGTGCTGTAAAGGCACGGGGGATACAATGTCAGGCAAGACCCAGGCTTGCCCTCAGTGGGCTTTTGGTAGAGAGGGTCCAGGGACAGTTTGAAAGTGTTGAGTTCTAGATGATTCCAGAATGGCCCATGCAAGAGTCCACGCCAGACCACAGGGAAGTATAAAGTCCTCCTCAGGCCAGACTGAATTTCTCTTCTGGCTTGGCATGCACAAGAAGTCCCTGACTGCTCTGTGGTATGAGAGAGGAGGAGGTTTGGTGGAAATTAGTCTAGAACTGTCTTAGTGTCATCCTGTATGAGTCATGGGACATGGATGCCCAGAATTAAACCTGGACCAACGTCTATGAAGCTTCACTTCCTCTTCTGACCAAGCTTGAGAATCATACACACCAACCCTTGAGCCATATTGACACTCAGAGCTGCTCGGTCTTGTACTGGCAGCCCTGTCCGAAGGGACCACTAGCTCCTCCATAGCAGATACCGTGACTGCTTGATGGTGAAACCAGGGAAATCCAAGAGTGATGGGCTGATTTTCAGACCTGAAAAATAAAAACAGTATATTTACTACAACATCTCTGAATAGGGATAGGTATCTCAGAAAAACTGTTCTAGTTCCTTCTTAATGTGACAAGATCATTTTCGAGGCACTAATTGATACCCTCCCTCTCCTCATGTGTCTTTTCCCTTTTCCTTTTCCTGTTCCCAGCTGATAATCAGACTCTGGGCTCTTGCCCTCAGAGAAAGCTGGCAGCAGGAGAGCTGAAGTGGATTATGCGGAGTGCCACTGGGGCCACAGGAAAAGGGGGTGTGCCTTAAGGCAGTGACCTGGAGTAGAGAGAGCCAGGGAAACCCAGGAGGGGCCATATGTTGTGGTTTCTGAGAACGGAGGAGACCTGCACTCTGGAGAAGGAGCCAAACAAACCTCAGGAGAGGAATGTGAGGTGCTGTAGGGAAGCATCTACTGGCCACAGGGGCTCCCATGCTAGAGAAGAGTGCCGTGTGCCAAGCACCCCTAGGGGGAAATGGGAGCCTGGGGGCTGTGAGGAAGGACTTCTCAACTGTAGCAAGTGCAGAGAGTTCACCTGAAGACTTAAAGGTGTGTGAGTGTGTGTGTGCGTGTGTGCACGTGCACGATCCCAGATGTCTTGTCACTTGTACAACCACAGGACCTTTGCATCACCCTAGGCGAGGTGGTCGCTTCTAAAGGTTTTGACTTCCTATCAACCCAGCATGATGGGATTAGAGTAGAAATTAAACGGATTTAAGTAAAATTAAGAGTTACAATATTTCTACAGCCCTGAGGCTATCTACTGAGCCATACCTGTTCTTCTCCCCAGATCCTTCTCTCCTTGCCTATTTTGGCCAGCGTGGGGATATCAGTCCTGGCACGCGGACCTATCTAGCATAAAGCCTGCTCCTATGAGGTAGAAGGCCTCACCTGAATAAAAGCTTTTCTGGAATAGAACCCTCTAGAATGTACCTGTACATTCTATGCTCCATGACTCCATCATCGTCGTCATCCTCCTCCTCCTCCCTCTCCTCCTCCTCCTCGTTCCCCTCCTCCTCTTCTTCCTCCTCCACTTCTTCCTCCTCCTCCTCCTGCTTCTTCTTCTTCTCTTCTCTCACGCTCTTGTTCTCTCTGTCTCTCTTCTCCATCTTTTCCCTCTCCTTCCTTTTTTCCCTCCTGCTCTCCCTGCCTTTGGCTTCAGGGTTTATACTCTTAACCATTACACTATACTTCCTGTTGTCAGTTTGAAATACCAAGAAAGGATCATCTGGGCTACCGTGGAAATTATCTGTAAGAATCAAGGAGCAGGAGAATGTGTATGCGATGATTCTTTGTGTGTCAATAAGGACAGAAATTTGGATAGATAGATAGATAGGTAGACACAGAGAGACTGATTGATTTCTTGGTATATGCCTAAATAATTTGGGGGGCGGAGAGGGCGAGACAAAAATATATTAACAGTAGTTGCCTTTGCGGACAGACACTGGAGGCAAAAGGAGAGAAACAGTCACCTTTAATTTGGTTCGTTTCTGTGCTGCTTGAATTTGCTCACCTTGTATATGCTTTCCTTTTTTAAACTATCTACCAAGATTATATAAAAAGGGAGGTTTATACGAAGATTTTTTTTTTGTACTTTCTTTTCTAAACATTTTTGTGTACAGATAACTAATAAATATGAGGTTCCCCCCCACCCCCGCCGAGAAAAATCTTGTACTATGCTTGTCAAATAATTATAACATTGTGGTTTCACCCCGCCTATAGGGCCCGGGAATTCTGAGATGATCCTGAAGACGCCCCCAGTGCCGCGGCTGCCTCTGGCAGGGGGCCGGTTTCCAGCATGCTCTGGATATGAAGAGGCCCGTGTAACAGACGGAGAAGACACCCTGGGGATTACATATGCCTCCCCCACCCCCCAAAATGATCAAAGGCCCCCGGGAAGAATCTAGAAACTGCTGTGAGGTCTCAACTTCCCTGTGGACATGCAGCTGACAGTGCCAAAGGCATTTTCAAATTAAAAAGGAAAACAATATTGACTGGGAAGCTGGATCAAGGTTACGATTGGCGGCGTCTTAGAAATTAATAGGAGATTCGGATGGTATTTGGCCAGGAACCCAGGAATGCCCAGATCCTATTAACGATAACTGCCCCTGGCTCCCCCAAGGAGGACTCAGCCCCAGGAGCAGGGTCTGCAGACAGGGCAATGCAGCAGGCCTGGTAGCTGGAGCTTGGGACCCACACCCCAAGGCAGAGGTTCTGGTGAGGGGGGCTCCCTGACAGCATCCAGCAAAGACACAGATGCCCAGGGAGACAGAGGGAACAACCTGTCTTGGTTTGCCCCAGACTGTCCCAGTGTCCCAGGAAAACCCCTCAGTTCCAGATACACAGCAACAGCTGTTCACCCTACCAGTGGGTGTCCTCACAGAATTCTACACCTAGAAGGGAACCTGGCGACTAAGGCTATTCTCTGTCTACCTGAAATTTAAGTAGCAAGTTCTTACTAGCTTCAATTTGTTTTATATGTAAAAGTAAAAGGTGTGTGTGTGTGTGTGTGTGTGTGTGTGTGTGTGTGTGTGTGTTCAAGAAAGAGAGAGATGGGCGCCTGGGTGGCTCAGTTGGTTAAGCGACTGCCTTTGGCTCAGGTCATGATCCTGGAGTCCTGGGATCGAGTCCCGCATCGGGCTCCCTGCTCAGCAGGGAGTCTGCTTCTTCCTCTGACCCTCTTCCCTCTCGTGCTCTCTGTCTCTCATTCTCTCTCTCTCTCAAATAAATACATAAAATCTTAAAAAAAGAGAGAGAGAGAGAGACACGGAGCGCCTGGGTGGCTCAGTCGTTAGGCGTCTACCTTCAGCTCAGGTCATGGTCCCAGGGTCCTGGGATCGAGCTCCACATTGGGCTCCCTGCTCAGCAGGAAGCCTGCTTCTTCCCTCTCCCACTCCCCCTGCTTGTGTTCCCTCTCTCGTGTTCTCTCTCTCTGTCAAAAAAAAAAAAAAAATGAGAGAGAGAAATAGAGAGACAAAGAGAAAGATTTAAAATGAAGAAAGAAATTGTTTTGTTCATCTAACAATGATTTGCAGAACACCTACATCATTCTGGGAACTGTGCTCAATAAAGGCTTGTTGCAACCTTCAGAAGAAATCATTAGAATTTCTCTATTTTTCATTTTTATTTTTACTTTTTAAAAAAGATTTTATTTATTTGAGAGAGAGAGAGAGGGAGCATGAGTAGGGGGAGGGGCAGAGGGACAGGCAGAGGCAGACTCCCCGCTGAGCAGGGAACCTCACATGGGGCTTGATCCCAGGACCCTGAGACCATGACCTGAGCTGAAACCAGAAGGTTATCTGACTGAGCCACCCAGGTGCCCCATATTTTTCATTTTTAAAGAGGAGGAGTGATGCCTGGGTGGCTCAGGTAGTTAAGCGTCTGCCTTCGGCTCAGGTCATGATCCCAGGGTCCTGGGATCGAGCCCCGCATTGGGCTCCCTGCTCAGAGGGGAGTCTGCTTCTCCTCCCTCTGCCTTCCGTTCTCCCTGCTTGTGATCTCTCTCTCTCTGACAAATAAATAAATAAAATCTTTAAAAAAAGCAAAGAGGAGGAAATTAAATAGGGCTTTGATGATATTTAGTATGCTGGTTGAATTGGCACCTTCCCAGAGGTCACATGGGACACACAGTAGGCACTGTATTCTGAGGGAAAAGAGCTTCAAAAATGCAGTGGGGATACAAAGCCGATTGGTGGTTGCCAACGGATGGGGAGAGAGCAGAGTGAGGAGTGACTGTTTAATGGGTACAAGGTTGCTTTCTGGGGTTCGAGAATTGGTGGTGATGGTTGCACAACATTGTGAATGTGCTACAAGCCAGTGAACTGTACACTGGAAAATGGTTAAAACGGTCAATTCTGTGTTATTTGAATTTTATCTCAATCAAAAGGAAAATCTGTAAAAATTCAGTGGCATCCTCACTTGCTGACTTGCCATTTGTGCATTGTAAGGATTTGCAGTTTGGATGCTCAGTTGGGTGGTGGTGTGGATTAGATTATCTTAAACAGCAGAATGTGTATAAAACTGCCTGGTGGGATGGGCAAAACCATGAAAATGGCTTCCACCACAGAGGGAAGATCTTATGGAAAAGCAATTTTAAAAGGAGTGAAACTAAACGATGAATTCTGAATTTTTCTTTTACTTTCAGTAACAGTTCCAAATTTGCTGACCTTTACTAGGATGACAGGAAATCATAATGTTGGTTGTTTAGCAGAAACTTTTTATAAAAGCACATAATCTATCTCCTTGAGATTTAAAAATGGATATTTTTTTAAATGAGTGCGAGATTAAGTATTTTTTGAAAGAAATTATGCCATGGAGAGAGCAGAGATGTTTGGAAGTTTCCCCCACTGTTATTTCTGTTGCAGAAAACAATGCATGTGGGTGACACTTATACGTGCACACTTGCCAAAAAACAGAAATGAGATTTTTCAGTCTTGTTTACATATCTTCCAAATGAAGAGATCTCTCAAATGCTGCATCTTCTGGTTGGTTTACTAGAACAATTTGACATTAAAGATCAAAATTCACTAGCCAGGTTTCAACAAAAACCTTTGCATGACTGACATAGGGCTCAAAAAATAAAACGATCACTGTAATTAGTCAAGGCAACCAATGATCTACTTCTTCTTTTCTTTTATTTTTTTAAAAAAGATTTATTTATTTATTTATTTATTTATTTGAGAGAGAGAGAGAGAGAGAGCATGAGCAGGGGGAGGGGAGGGAGAGCTAGAGAGAGAATCCTCAAGCAGGTTCCCCACGGAACACAGAGCCAGACACGGGGCTCGATCCCACGACTCTGAGATCACGACCTGAGCCGAAACCAAGAGTTGGACAGTTAACAGACTGAGCCACCCAGGTGCCCCTACTTCTTCCTTTTAAATGTATATATCCTTGCCAGTGTCTTTTCCAGCCATGTCAAACCATTAAAGCCAAATTTTATCAAAACAAACTAAACTTAACACCAGACCAAAGTGGTAAACCGAGATTT